GCAACAAGAGGAACAGCCATTTTAGATCTGGTCCTAACCAATGTTGATGACCTGGTTAGTGGGGTAGAAGTGGAAGGATCATTAGGCGCAGTGATCATGCTCTTCTGAAGTTTACTATACAGCGGAAAGGAGCAGCCAAGCATACTAGGACTCAATTTCTTGACTTTAAGAAAGCCGACTTCATAAAACTTAGGGAAGTGCTGGGTGAGATCCTATGGACAGTAATACTAAAAGGAAAGGGAGTTCATGATGGCTGGGACTTTGTTAAGAGGGAGATAGTAAAAGCACAACGTCAGGCAATACCAATGAGACGGAAACATGGAAAGTGCCTAAAGAAGCCAGGGTGGCTATCTAAAGAACGTTTAACTGAGTTAAGATTAAAAAATGATGTGTACAAAAAATGGAAAAGGGAAACCACCAAGAGGAATTCAAACAAATAGCCAGCACGTGTAGACACAAAGTCAGAAAAGCTAAAGCACAGAATGAACTCAGGCTTGCTAGAGAGGTTAAAAACAACAAAAAAGGCTTTTATGGGTATGTTCGTAGCAAAAGGAAGAACAAAGAAACAGTGGGGTCACTCAGAGGAGAAGATGGTGAAATGCAATCAGGGGACACAGAAAGGGCTGAGCTCTTTAATGCCTTCTTTGCCTCAGTCTTCTCCGATAAAGAAAACAATGCCCGACCTGAAGAATTTGGAGCAAATGATTCAGCAAAGGAAACACAGCCCAGAATAACTAAGGAGATAGTACAAGAATACTTGGCTAGTTTAGATGTATTCAAGTCTCCAGGGCCAGATGAACTGCATCCAAGAGTATTAAAAGAACTGGCAGATGTGATCTCAGAACCACTGGCAGTCATCTTTGAGAATTCCTGGAGAACAGGCGAAGTCCCGGCAGACTGGAGGAGGGCAAATGTTGTCCCTATTTTCAAAAAGGGAAAAGAGAGGACCCAAATAATTACCGCCCAGTCAGTCTGACATCAATACCAGGGAAGATTCTGGAGCAGATCATTAAGCAAACAGTCTGTGAGCACCTAGAAAGGAATGCTGTGATCACCAATAGTCAGCATGGATTTCTGAAAAATAAGTCATGTCAGACTAACCTGATCTCGTTTTTGACAGAATTACAAGCCTGGTAGATGAAGGGAACGCAGTGGATGTAGCCTACCTTGATTTCAGCAAGGCATTTGACAAGGTGCCCCATGATATTCTTGTAAAGAAGCTGGTAAAATGTGGTCTTGACTATGCTACCACCCAGTGGATTTGTAACTGGCTGACTGACCGAACCCAAAGGGTGCTCATCAATGGTTCCTCTTCATCCTGGAGAAGAGTGACTAGTGGGGTGCCACAGGGTTCTGTCTTGGGCCCGGTCTTATTCAACATCTTTATCAACGACTTGGATGATGGACTCAAGGGCATCCTGATCAAATTTGCAGATGACACCAAACTGGGAGGGGTGGCTAACACCCCAGAGGACAGGATCACACTTCAAAACGACCTTGACAGATTAGAGAACTGGGCCAAAACAAACAAGATGAATTTTAACAGGGAGAAATGTAAAGTATTGCACTTGGGCAAAAAAATGAGAGGCACAAATACAAGATGGGTGACACCTGGCTTGAGAGCAGTACATGTGAAAAGGATCTAGGAGTCTTGGTTGACCACAAACTTGACATGAGCCAACAGTGTGACGCGGCAGCTAAAAAAGCCAATGCAATTCTGGGCTGCATCAATAGGAGTATAGCATCTAGATCAAGGGAAGTAATAGTGCCACTGTATTCTGCTCTGGTCAGACCTCACCTGGAGTACTGTGTCCAGTTCTGGGCACCACAGTTCAAGAAGGACACTGACAAACTGGAACGTGTCCAGAGGAGGGCAACCAAAATGGTCAAAGGCCTGGAAACGATGCCTTATGAGGAACGGCTAAGGGAGCTGGGCATGTTTAGCCTGGAGAAGAGGAGGTTAAGGGGTGATATGATAGCCATGTTCAAATATATAAAAGGATGTCACATAGAGGAGGGAGAAAGGTTGTTTTCTGCTGCTCCAGAGAAGCGGACACGGAGCAATGGATCCAAACTACAAGAAAGAAGATTCCACCTAAACATTAGGAAGAACTTCCTGACAGTAAGAGCTGTTCGACAGTGGAATTTGCTGCCAAGGAGTGTGGTAGAGTCTCCTTCTTTGGAGGTCTTTAAGCAGAGGCTTGACAACCATATGTCAGGAGTGCTCTGATGGTGTTTCCTGCTTGGCAGGGGGTTGGACTCGATGGCCCTTGTGGTCTCTTCCAACTCTATGATTCTATGATTCTATGACTGGACCTAATGGTCAGGGGTACCTTTACCTTTACCTTTTAGGGTAGCAGGACATGGCTCCTTTCTGGTTTTGACAGTACTACCTGTGTCAGCAGTAATGCCCTGCCCTTGGCACTCAACTGAGCCTGAGCACCTCTGTTGGCAGGGGCAGACTTTGGTCTTTCAAATTTCAGCAGCGCCCTGTGCCAGCCCCAAATTCAGCGCCCCCACCCTCCATTCTGCTCAATTCGCTGTGTCATAGTTTCGGCGCCCAGTGTGGCAGAACTGGTTGTGCTGCCCAAATCCGCCTCTGCTGTTGGTCTGTGCTGACTAAGGCCTGGCTGCTCCCCAGCCCTCAACTTAGCCTGCTTGGCAAAAGATGGAATTGCTCGCACCTTTCCCCATAAACACTATTCTGCTTTGAAAGGAGCTAGTCGCTTCTCTTTTGCAAAAATGAGAACGCGTCTACTTTGGGAGACTTGGGCACTTTCAGAATTCCCCCTCTCGCCTTATATATGGCAACTTAAATTGGATTACGAGGGGATCAGCATGGAGTGAAACCTGAGATGAGGCAGATGGACTTGGGCAGACAAAGAGGCGGGTTTGGGTTACGGAGCTGCATGTCAGAGGTGAGGCTGCAGGAACTTTTCCAAATGGCGACTCCATTTGAGAAGTGGAGGCTGAGAATAAACATGGCCTTTGTCCGCCTCCTTTTATTAACCCATTAAGCATCTTAAAACATCAGGCTTCATCCTGTCGCGGAAAGACTCATCTAAGATTTCCCTCCCTCCTTCTGCTCTCCCTCTTTAAAGAGCTGCCTGTCTTGTAAACAGGAAGGTTAGTACTTCTAAACATGGAGGCAGATAGGTGCTGTGGAGCAGGGCTGAATTGATCCAAGGGAACAGTATTTCTTGCTGGCTGTGGGAATTAAGCTTGGATTCCATTTAAAGGGGAATCTATCTAATTTGCACTTTCTGAAACTTAATGCGAACCCCAATACAGCTATCATTTCAAATTTGCCTTACTCGAAATCCTGCAATGCAGTTCTCTGTGTGTACAAAAATGCATCTAAAGTTTGCACATATTGTTGAAACTGACAGTCAAAAATGCTTTATATCAGTCAGAGTTACATATGCAAATAGCCAAATTGTATACTCAAATGAATTTGCACTGAATTCATGCTGCTGGATTTTTACAAGGACTCTTGGAAACAAAAATTGATATGGAAATGTGGAAAACTGAATTTAAAGATGGGGAAGAGGTGGGAAATGGAAACTGACCCATCTCTAATCTAGAGGAGGGAAACCTGGGGGTGGTTGCAATAGCACTCTTTCCAAACTTGAGGGGTTCCGCACAGGAGAGCATAAAAACGTGTTCTCTGCTCTTGTGAAGGACTGGGCAAGACTGACTGGATTTAAGCTACAAGAGGGCAGGTTTCAATTGAACATTAGGAGGAAATCTCTAACTCTGGATTTCCTGCCTCAAACAGGCGTTTGAACTAGATGACCCCCCCCCCCCCCCAGCTGCAGGATTCTGTGTCCTGTGCTCCGCAGGTCACAAACACATTTTTAGCATTCCCAGGTGCAAACCTTGAAACTTGGCTTTCCGGCTTCCTTGAAGTTAGTCCCACGACAGACCTGAGTAACTCTTACCTGTGCATCTTATTCTGTTTATAGACAGCACTGAGCTAAGTGGACCAATGGGTGACTCAATGATCATGTAGCTTCCAGTATTTGAAATTAGCCAGGAGCCAGGCACATTTTGTGACTAACATGGGTCCAGTTGCGACCATGTGGAGATCTTTGGATGCCAGGTTGCCGACTGACATCTCCATCTGGCTGGCTCCTCCAGCTTTCTTAAGCTGGTAAACAGAACAGCTTACTTATTGCATTTATATCCCACCTTTTTCTCCAAGGAGTACATGGTTCATCCCCCTCCCCAGTTAATCCCTACAACAGCCCTACGAGGTAGATTAAGGGGCTGTGACTGGCCCAAAGTCACACAGTGAGCTTCCTGACTGAGTCGGGATTTGAACCCTGATCTCCCAGGTCCTAGTCTGACACCCTCACCACTACACCACACTGACTTCCTAGAGTACTTCTGCTGTGGGGCAGCTATATATATTAAGTTGGTAACAAAATACGGGGAAAGCAAAATGTCACTTAGATAAGAATGTGAAACATTGTCCTTGAAGCTTGAATTTGTATTATTCTGGATTGTTCGATTTGATGTTTTAATGTGTTGCAAACCACTTTGAGATATTTTCTTTAAAATAGAAAGGAGTATAGAAATGAAAATAAATAAATAAATAAATAAATAAATAAATAAATAAATAAATAAATATAAATAAAAACAAATCTCCTTAGAAAAAAGGCACCTAGAGACTCTGTTGTGGTGACTGTAACCAAGGCTTAAGATGCCATTTGGCGATTAGCTTATATATCTGAGTTGCTAACACTGGACTAGCTTCCTATGTTGACATTTAAATTAGCTCTCCATTATGAACCATGAGGAATCTTTATCACTAAGAGAAGGACCACAGCTTGATGGCTCCATCTTCAATCCTTTGGCGTTTCCAACTAGATTTGGGGAAGACGCTGCCTGAGATCTTTGGAGTACCACACGGCCAATCACTGTAGTCGATGCTAAGCAATACGGACCAGTGGTCTGACCCGCTTGACAAGGCAGCTTCCTGGTTGGTGATCCCTGCCATGGCGGGAAGACTGTGTCTCTGTGGCCCTGGAGATGACCTCTCCTTCCCCTTCTCTCCTCTCTGTGTTTCAGACTTGAGCCGCTCCACGGAACTCTCCTTTGCCATCGAGCCCAGTGACCACATAGCTGTGCAGGAGCAGCCGCTGGTGCTGTACTGCCAGGTGGAAGGCATCCAGCCCATCAGCATCACGTGGCGCAAGAACGGGGTGCTGGTGGTGGACAAAGAGGACTCCTTCACACTCGCCAATGGCTCGCTGTACTTCTCCCACTTCCAGAAACTGAAGGGCGATGGGTCCTCAGACGAAGGCGAGTACGACTGCATGGCTCAGAATCGCTTTGGGATGGTGGTGAGCCGCAAAGCCAGGATTCAAGCAGCAAGTAAGTTGAGGAGGTTCCTCCATCTTGCAAATCCTTTACTTTGCCTTTGTTGACTGTTCGACATTAATGGAAGTGCAGTAGCTAATTTGGCTGGAAGGTGTTGATGGAGCACAGGTTATAATTGCTAGAATGGGCAGGTTTTTAAATGGTGATCAGAATATTTCTAAGTATTTGGGTGACAGTAAGCAGGATGAGGGGCTCTACACCTGAAGCTCCTTTTTCTTTCTCAAATATTGGGGGGGGGGTCCCATAGTTTGCAGTTAGGGCTGCAGTGCAGAAGGAAAGTTGGTTTTTCTTCTTTTTAGTTTGCAGGATAATTTTTTTTTAATGGAAGAAAATCTACATTTAAATGTGTGTTTTCAAAGAAAGTATTTTATGTCAATACAAGTGGTACCTCGGTTTAAGAACAGTTCTGTTTAAGAATGATTTGCTTTACAAACTCCGCAAAACTAGAAGTAGTGTCCCAGTTTGAGAACTTTACCTCGGTCTAAGAATGGAATCCGAACGGTGGAAGGGCACTGGCGGAGGGAGGCCTCATTAGGGAAAGCGTGCCTTGGTTTAAGAACAGTTTCGATTTAAAAACTAACTTCCGGAACGGATTAGGTTCGTAAAACGAGGTACCACTGTACACATTTTTAGATAATGTTTTTATTGGTGAGAACTGTGTTGGAACATTGGGGGAGTCCAAAGGTCCACAGATGCCACATTCACAGATACATTTAAATCCCTTTGAGAATTGTAGCTCTGTGCAGGGGGTCAGGAAATAGGGTTCTCCTGGAGCTCTCAGCATCCTTGACAAACTACAGCTCCCAGAATTCTTTGGAGTAAGCAATGACTTTTTTAAAGTGATGGATACTGTTTTGTCTGTGTGGTATGAATATGGCCTTAAATATGCCCCGCTGTGTTCAGATTTGCACATTAAACGCAGGAGGCAGGGATCCAGTCAGTTTTCTATTGCATTTCTCAATGATTGGATTCCTTGACTGTTCCCGAATGAAGGGATTCCCTCTCTCTCCCCCCCCCTTTAATATGTGTTGTATCTTTGGACTGAATGTGGTGGTAGTGGTGGTGACAGAAACAGATCACAGTGGATTGCAGGAAAGCCACATGCTGTAATAAACATTGTCCAGCCACACAGTGATTTTCTATTTTTTTAATCTTTGTAGTGAAAGAGGGGAAGAGGGAGGGTGTGAGAAGCTGGGACTCTTACTAGGCTGGAATTTTGCCCTGGAAAAAGATTCTGGAGAAGTATGCCATTGGGTGAGATCAATGTGAATGACCTGATCTTGATTGGAATCAGGCTGCTTGGAAAAGGCCAGGTTGGGTCAGGATCAAAGGGGTACTGGTCCAGGGTTGCAGGGGGCAGAAGACCCATTACTGTTTCTACAGCTGGGTCCATGCAAGGTCCCTATCCCCAATTTCCTAGAGCCACCACATCAGACTGAAAGGGGAGGGTTTGTTTTTAGTCACTGTGCTCCAAAGTATTTAGGAACACCAAAAACAAGAGGTGCTTCAATTTCAAGAGAATGGGGTGGACATTTTGTTATGTACAGTGGAACTGCAACTAATCCAGAATGCAGCAGCTAGACTGGAGACTTTGAGCGGCCGCCAAGACCACATAACACCATCCTGAAAGACCTACATTGGCTCCTGGTATGTTTCCAAGCACAATTCAAAGTGTTGCTGCTGACCTTTAAAGCCCTAAATGGCCTCGGTCTAGTATACCTAAAGGAGTGTCTCCACCCCCATCGTTCAGCCCAGACACTGAGGTCCAGCTCCGAGGGCCTTCTCGCCTTCACTGCGAGAAGCGGGGCTCCAGGGAACCAGGCAGAGGGCCTTCTCGGTAGTGGCACCTGCCCTGTGGAACGCCTCCCACCAGATGTCAATGAAATAAACAACTATCTGACTTTTAGAAGACATTTGAAGGCAACCCTGTTTAGAGAAGTTTTTCATTTCTGATGTTTTATTCTGTTTTTAGTGTTCTGTTGGGAGCTGCCCAGAATGGCTGGGGAAACCCAGCCAGATGGGTGGGGTATAAATAATAATAAAATTGCTACTCCTCCTCCTCCTCCTCCTCCTCCTCCTCCTCCTCCTACTTCATGGAAAACACACCTTTGGTCATTCCAAAAGAAGATACATACTAGAGAGCACTCCAAATGATTTCTCAAGTACGTGGACAGAAAATAGTAGATCTCGCTGAAAGGCAAGACATAGAAATCTGCACTGATCATTGCAATGCATCCCTGATTGTTATTGTATAATTATAAGATTACTGCATAATCTTGGAAGGTTGTATTATCTTAGAGGGATTCCATACTCAAACACAGCCAGCTGCACTGCATGGGCTCTGGGACTGTAATCATGCAAGGTATGTTAAAAATTGACCTCCCTCTTTTACGCGATGAGGATAAGTTGCTTGCTGGCTTTTCCTATCCGCCTGCTGCAGGTAGGAGCATCACCCAGTGGTTTGCAGGAGGCTCAGGGGAAATTTATCCAAGGCGTTGCACTAATGGCGAATCCTGTTGAGCAATTTATCATCTTTAACTTGTCTTGCAAAACCAAGAAGGCTTTGACATTGTTACAGCCATCAAGTCTCAGTACATAGAAATCGTAAGGGGGTTCCTAGCAATTGCCCAAGGACATCTTCGGAATAACTGTATGTTTGCATTGTAAGGATGTAGGAAGAGCCAGTGGCCCAGAGAGCCCAGTGGCCAACCAAATGCCTGTGGGAAACCCACAAGCAGGACCTGAATGCAATAACACTTTCCCTCCCTCCAGAGGTTTTCAGCAACTGATCTTCAGCAGCATTGCTGCCTCTTGTGGCTAGTGTTGTTGTTGTTTAGTCGTTTAGTCGTGTCCGACTCTTCGTGACCCCATGGACCAGAGCACGCCAGGCACTTCTGTCTTCCACCGCCTCCCGCAGTTTGGTCAGGCTCATGTTTGTAGCTTCGAGAACACTGTCCAACCACCTCATCCTCTGTCGTCCCCTTCTCCTTGTGCCCTCCATCTTTCCCAACATCAGGGTCTTTTCCAGGGAGTCTTCTCTTCTCATGAGGTGGCCAAAGTATTGGAGCCTCAGCTTCAGGATCTGTCCTTCCAGTGAGCACTCAGGGCTGATTTCCTTAAGAATGGAGAGGTTTGATCTTCTTGCAGTCCATGGGACTCTCAAGAGTCTCCTCCAGCACCATAATTCAAAAGCATCAAAACTTATGGCTAGTAGCCATTCATTTATGTGTCCCGAATCTCCAGCATTCACCTTCGTTGGATGTCTATGAGTTTTAGCATTATAAGAAATGGAGAAAAACTTTTCTCTATCCACTTCATCTGTGCCATGTGTAATTTTATAAATTTCTTTCATGTCACCGTCTATCATCTTGCATGGTTCTCTGGATTGGACGTGCTCCACGTATAGTTTATCTCTCTGGGTGTTTTCTTCACAGCAGGCTTCAGGTTGTTGGCCAATCCTTTGCCATCCCCAGGGTCAGGGTGGCTGAACCTGCCAATTCCAGTTTCTCAATCTTCCATTCTTTAAGCTCAGCTTGCCACATTTCTGCACCAGTTTGCGATTTTCAAGAAGCCCTCATGACATTCACCAGCAGGTTAATGCAATTTTGCTGAATGGACACGTTTTCCCAAGCCACTTTTGCATAGCAGTAAAGTAGCAGCAACAGCAGCAGCAGCAGCAGCAAACAACATTATGGGGAAACCTGACGTATTAAACAAATTTAAGCCAGAAACTAAAACTCAGCGAGGTGGATGCCAGATAGGCAGAGGATGCTTCAAACCCAGAGAGTTATCAAGGAAAAAGGCCTTCTCTCCTAATTTGGAGAAGGGCTTCTGTACAGTGGTACCTCGGGTTACATACGCTTCAGGTTACAGACTCGCTAACCCAGAAATAGTACCTCGGGTTAAGAACTTTGCTTCAGGATGAGAACAGAAATCGTGCTCCGGCGGCGCAGCAGCAGCAGGAGGCCCCATTAGCTAAAGTGGTGCTTCAGGTTAAGAACAGTTTCAGGTTCAGAACGGACTTCCGGAATGAATTAAGTACTTACCACTGTATATTATTTAGCCATCAGGCAGGGTAACCCAGAAGGTGGGGAACAGAAGTGGCCCTTTGAATTCTCCCCAAGCCTTCCCACTGGCCCCTGCATAATATCGGGAGTGTTTTTGCCCTACTGGGATGTGTCCTCTTGCTTCCTTGTATGCAGGATAGAGAAGGGTGTGTGACTGTGTGCAGAAACTAGCCAGCTGAAATTGACAGCTATCGCTCCACCCGCTTTCACCTTTGGCTCCACCTACTAGTGACATGTGGCCCTCGGAAGGTTGCCCAGAGTGACATGTGGCCCTTGGGTTGCAAAGGGTAACCCTGCCACTGCAGTCGGCATTTCTGCCTTCCCGGCCGCTCATCCCCAGATGTAGCATCTTGGCTTTTTTAAAGGGAGGCTCCTTCTTTAAACTTGATTTTCAGCAGCTGGCTTAGCGGCGGCAAAGGCGGGGTCAGTCGGCTTTGCCTAAGGACCGCTTGCGAAGTGGCTGGGATGAAGGCTGAACCTGGGAGCTTCCCTGGTTCCCAGCCTTGGCCGTGACGTCTGGAGCAGATGGCCTCTTGAATGCAGCTCAAAGACGGCCACCCTTTCCCCTCCGCCTATTGTCCCTCATTGTTCGGAGCTGAATGGGGCGCTGCTGAAAGCGAAAGTCTGCTTGCTTTGCGGAGCCTGGGAGATGCGGCCCAAGCGATGTGGATTCTCGAGAGGGATTGAAAAAGAGGCCTCCTTCCTCGCTGGGCTTGCATCCTTAAGAGGACTGGGAACTGTTCTCAGAGCACACACAACTGCCACCTTCTTTCACATCTACCTCTCAGATTTTTTGGGGAGGGGGTGTGAGAGGACTCTCCCCCCCTCCTCTCTTTTCTTCTGCCACCTCCTTGCAATTTTCCTGCTTGGAGAGGGTGCTCAGCACAGACAATTGGCCATTTTCATTCTTTGCTCTTTCCCAGGGCGTTGAATACTTGCACACTGCTAGATGTAGGCAGGAGAAGGGCCTTAGGCGAGCTCAAGTACAGGCAGCTCCTTCCCCTCCTGCCTGGGGAGAAGGCGGCAGAACGGACAAAGCCCCGTCCCTGGTAAACAGCTCCAGAGACAGGAATGGTCCCTGCAAGAAAGATGAACAGGTGTAGCCCAAAAGGCTAGCGGCCTTTTATCTGCATAATGCATTCTTAGCTAAGTTGCGGTGGGAAAGAGGCTGAGCTCTACACTTGAGTTCCTTGCAGAGTGGACCGCCTTTCAAATGCCACATGGCTGGGGGGGGGGAGAGCAAAGGGAAACCCATTGGGGAAAAGTGCTGGAGCCCCTTCCCAGGGAGGGACAGCTACAGAGTTGTGTGTGTGTGTGTGGGGTTTAGTTTAGAAAGGCTAAGGTTGCCTTCTCCCCATTAGGTGCTATGAGACCCCCACTGGCCATCAGTCTCTTCCAATGATCAGGGATGGTGGGAGCTTTAGTCCATTTTTTGGGGGGGGATCAGGTTGGAGACGGTTGTGATAGGGAGGGCTCTACGCCATTTTGCTGTAGTTCGGTGGCAGAGCATCTGCTTGGCATGCAGAAGGCCCCAGGTTTGATTCCCAACAGCTCCAGGTCAGACTTTGAAACCCTGGAAAGCCTCTTCCAGAAGGTGTAGACCAGAGCTTTCCAAACTGTGTGTTGCAACACGTTAGTGTGTCGGCTGTAGTGTGTAGCTGTCCCTGCACTCCTCCAGGGGCTGGAAAGGGGTTCATTTAACCTCCAATTTCCTAGTAAAACTGAATTAATGTGTCGCAAAACGTCGCATTTCCAACAAGTGTCACCAACAGGAAAAGTTTGGAAAGCTCTGGTGTAGACAGTACTGAACTAGAGGGACTAACGCAGGGGTCAGCAAACTTTTTCAGCAGAGGGCTGATCCATTGTCCCTCAGACCTTGGTGGGGGGGGGCGGAATATATTTTTTGGGGGGAAATATGAACGAATTCCTATGCCCCACAAATAACCCAAAGATGCATTTTAAATAAAAGGACACATTCTACTCATGTAAAAACACGCTGATTCCCAGACTGTCCGCGGGCCGGATTTAGAAGGCGATTGGGCCGCATCCGGCCCCCGGGCCTTAGTTTGCCTACCCATGGACTAACGGTTTGACATAACTTTGGTTTAACATAGCTAGCACTGCAGGAGCAAGGGCAGTGCAGGAGGGGGAGAAGTGTAGCTCACGGGAAGAACCCTAACTCTCTTTCCCAGCTTCCTAAACTACGAATGCAGCCAGGCACCAGAGTTTAATGCAGTCAGGATTGTAGCATCAAATCCAGCAAAAGCAGAGGTTTTCTGGGTGCTTGTTCCTGGCTTGATAGGGTTGCTTATGCTTGGAATGTGTGTCTGAATTGACCATTAGTCTGGAGCATAAAAGGTTTCTGCTGATCATTTTATGGCATCTCCCCTTCTCGGTTTGGGAGCAGCCGCTTGGCCTCTCGACTCTCTTCCCCCGCCCCCCAATCCTTTCTGAAGAGGAGCCACAGCTAAATAAGCTGGCACCTCCTTGAGCTCCCGCTTGATTAACAGCAGCGCTTTGTCAAGGCCAAGATCAGGCCCCAGCCCCCTCCACTGCTAGCGTCCCTTTGATGCCGTCTCTTGCACCCACCACCCTCGCTGAGCTCAGTGGCTCGGCTTTCACAGGTCACAGGAAGGGAACAATGGAGGCAAGAGGCCTTGCTGGAAAGAAGGCAGGAGGAGCAGCAAGCGGGATTTTGCTGCGAGGCAAGGCTCCAGAAAGCTAGCAAGGACCGCCTTCGGATGCACAGAGGGGGCAAAGGGCTGGTGGCAGCATCCAGGTGGCATGCAGAGGAGTGGTGGTGCTCAGTCCTGCCTCCACTGTCGGAGGCAACAATGCTTCTGATTGCCCTTTGCTGGAAATGGCAGAAGGGGAGAGGGCTCTTGTGTTTGGGTCCCGCATGAGGGCTTCCCACAGGCATCTGGTTGGCCACTGTGAGAACAGGATGGTGGACTAGATGGGCCTTTGGCCTGATCAAGCAGGGTTTCTTCTTCTTTTTCTTCTTCTTCTTCCTCTTCTTTCTTCTTCTTTCTTCTTCTTCTTCTTTATAAAATAATAAATTTTATTAGTGTTTTCCACACAACAACAACATGAAAAATATCAAAAAATAACAATACACAAAACACAAAAGCCAGCATGCCACAAAAAATCTGTATCTTTCAATTTAATAATATAAACACTAAAAGCAACAACACTGACTTCCACCAATCCCACAGCACCTCCTTTACCTCTCATTGTATCTTCCTGTTTTCTTGTTTTCCTTATCATCTCTATCCTAGCATCTAGATATAAATCCCTCTTTCTTATCCTTTCACTTCACAAGGTGATTCTAGACACAGCCAGATTTCCGTCCTCGAACCTTGGCTTTTAAGGTATTCATTTAAGCACTCCCATTCCCTTTTCACTTCACTTTTTGATTTTTATCTTATTATATCTGTCAATTTGGCTAATTCTAAATATTCTGAAAGCTTGCATAACCATTCTCCCCTAGTGGGTAACTGATTCCCTTTCCAATAGTTGGCCACCAGGATTCTTGAAGCAGATGTTGCGTATAAGACTGTAAACAGGGTTTCTTCTATGTTCTTATGGACTAGAACAACTCCTATGGCTGATTTAGGACAAATCAAGCCACAGGCCCTTCTAGCTCAGGATGGCCTCCAAACCAGTTGCTGAGAATTGGAAGTGGGGAGACGGCTGTTGTTTTCCGGCCCTTCTTTGGGGCTTCACATTGAGGAATCTGGTTGGCTGCTGTGAGAACAGGTCTAGAGGGCCCCCCTTTGGCTTGATCCAGCAGGTTCCTTTAATGCTCCTCACCAAAGGCTGGAGGTGGGTTGGGGAATCTTTAGTCCTCCAGATATGGCTGGACTCCCAATTCCTATGGTCCTCGTGGTCAGGGATGGTGGGGGGTGGGGTCCAATGACATCTGGAGAGCATGTGATTGCCTCCCCTGGTGCAGAGAATGCCGAGCTAGTTGGATCAGTGACAGCATCCTTTGTTTGTAGGAGCTCAAAGCGCCTGAGTCTCTCTGTGTTGTCAGTTTCTCCTTCCACTTAGCTTCTGCTGCTGCGGCCAGCAGTTCTTCCATGTCTTGGGTGGGGTTGGTTCATTCCGTCACCCCCAGTGCAGAGTCTTGGCTGCCTTTGGAGCCTCTGAATGAGTTTTCTGGGAGGAAACTCGCTTAATATTTCATTTCATTTCAAGATTCAAAGTTACACTTTGCCACTCAACGGTAATAATCCTATTCTGGAATCCTAATGACTTCCTGCTCACCCATCCTCGGTATTTATAATCATGATTACACACAATTGCGTTTTTAAATTCCATCGCATCCAGTTTCATCTTTAACAGGTTTCTTAACTATGTTCTGCTTTTTCTTTTTCTTAAACTTCAAACCCCACTGTGGACTTTGCATATGAAAAGGTATTTTTAAATAGACGAGAAAAGGTTTACAGTCCTTGAAAGATACTAAACTTGTGCCTCTTATCAGCGTGTCAGTTTTGCCATCTCTGCGTATTCCACGATTTTCATCAGGTATTTTTCCTTTGAGGGTATTCATTCCTCCTTCTGTTTCTGTGCATAGTGATTCCTTGCCACTGTGGTTAAATAAACATAAATACAGTTGAAGCTTTCTTTGGAATTTCTCTGTCCAGAAAACTCCAGGTGCTAAGAAATAGTGTTTATTTTTCTGAGCCCAATTGCATTTCAGGGCACCGGTAGCGGCAATGGGGTGGGCGGAAGGAAAGAAATCTTTTTGCAAAGGTTCCAACCCCCTTCGCATCAGGGATACTGCAGCAAGTCCCACGATATCTTCTGGTGCGTTAGAGAAATGTTGCTAAAAGGTGGCCTTTGGGAACAGGCTGGGCTTACAGTAAAAAGAGTTTTGTAGTACAGTGGTACCTCGGGTTACATACGCTTCAGGTTACATACGCTTCAGGTTACGCACTCCTTTAACCCAGAAATAGTGCTTCAGGTTAAGAACTTTGCTTCAGGATAAAAACAGAAATCAGGCTCTGGTGGCGCGGCGGCAGCAGGAGGCCCCATTAGCTAAAATGGTGCTTCAGGTTAAGAACAGTTTCGGGTTAAGACCGGACCTCCGGAATGAATTAAGTACTTAACCCGAAGTACCACTGTACTTGGGAATTCCCTCTCCCTCCTCTTTTTAACTGGCTGGGGCTTCTACCCATTTTTGTGCTTGGATTTTATGCTCTGGAAGGTGCTGTGGACCTCACTCAGACCTCATCTCTTACTCTCCTGTCTGCTTTAAAAGGAAACTCCCCCCCCCCCCAGACCGAGGAGAGCCTGGGGTGGGGAGGGGAAGTTGAGTGTGTGCTGGGCAGTCGGTAATTTGAGAAAGAGTGATTTAAGGCTTCCAGACATCCCGAGGCAGACTTAGCCGGATGTTGGGCCCGATCCCTGGCCATGGTGAGCATGAGGCCATCCACAAGAATCTCCAGGAGAAGTGGGCAGAGCTCGGCGCTTCTGCCGCTGCCTGTCCATTCAGAGCTGGGCTGTGTGCATTTGAACTCCTGCCATGGCAACAAGTTCATCCTCAGGCCAACTCGACTGTGGATGGCAGTGAGGGGTGTGAGCAAAGCAGTGTTATGAGGAGGCAGGCGGCGGAGGGTGTGTGTGTGTGTTCTAGCTGCCGGAGCGAGTGAGAGGACTATCCATCCCCGGAGACCCGGTGGAAGGCAAAATGCAATTACTGAGCCCGAGATCCTCTTCTCTTCTTCCTGGTATGCTTTGCAATTGGCAAAGAGGCCCAGGGCCATCGTCTCAAGAGGCCACGACTTTGCAGAAAAGCATGAACTTTGCCTGCAAGGGCAGGAGTGGGGAGTCTAGCTTAGCCCGAGGGCTGCATTCCCCCAAGGGGAACTTTCCAGGGTCCGCAAGCCAGTGGGGGCTGGAGGTGAAGGTGGATGGGGCAGCAGGTGTGCTTCTTACCTTGTGCCGTAGTTTGCATTCCAGGCTTGTGAAACCACTTCCCCACCCAAAACACATTTCTCCAACTCTACCCAGCTTATTCATATATTTGAAGGGGCTATAGCAGGGGTTGGCAAACTATGGCTCCCAGGCTGGATCAGGCCTACCTGGGTCCTAAATCCGGCCCGCACCACGAAGCCAGAACCCGCCACAAAGCCGAGACTCCTGGCAATGGCAACAAAAGGAAGAGGCTGAGTGGTGGCAGCTCTGCCACTCAAACGCTGTGCCTGATTTACCTCAGCGGTGTTTGATTGGCCCAGACATCCCCGCGCCATGCTGAGGTAAACCAGGGGTGGCGTTTGATTGGTAGAGCTGCCGCCACTTGGCCTCTTCCGTCTGTTGCCACTTGGCCTCTTCCTCCACCACTGTCGCCACCCTGGTGCTCCCGTGGGCCAGAGACCAGAGTGGATGAGCTTGCCCTGCCTACCCACGAGAAACAGCAGCTGTGGTGGTGGCGGCAGCCCCTGGGAAGGTAAGCGCTGGGGCTGGGGAGGAGGACTACTTGCCCCCCTCGCCTCTTCTTCCAGCTCCGCTCCCCGGTGCCGTTTCTCTGGCCTGCCACAAGGTCTGAGGGACAGTGGACCAGCCCGCTGCCAAAAACTTTTGCTGACCCCTGGCCTATAGCATTGCCTCTTAGGAGCATAGGAAGCTGCCTTAAACTGACTCAGACCATTGGCCCATTTGGCTCAGTATTGTTTACACTGACTGGCAGCAGCTCTACGGGGCTTCAGGGAGGGGGATCTCTCCCAGCTAGAGATGCCAGAGTTTGGGCCTGGGACCTCCTGCATGTATTACATCAGGCACAGAGATTTCACAGAAGGACAGTTCCCAGAGTGGTTTAGCTGTCAATCCCTCTTCCTAGGGAGCTCTGGGTATTGTAGCTGTGTGAGGAGAAGGGGGGTGTATTGATAACTCTCACCACCCTTAACAAATCATGCTTCTCAGGATACTATGTTCCTGCTACAAATGTGTAGTGTGAATGGGGCCATAGCTGTGTGATGCAGTTCCCTTGCTCTGCCTCATGGGAAGGCGGGTGCCCACCCTGTACCCCTAAATATATGGGGATGACATCATGCTGGGGAGCAGCCAATCATAGTTAGGGATTAGAGGCACTGCCTGCTTTGCACAGTTTACATGTCTGTTGAGGGAACCAGCAGCGCCATCTTGTTGCCTCATAACCTGCGAAAAATCTCTTAAAGGGAGTGGGGAGGGAGCCCTAGAAGTAAGGAGCATCTGCTAAGGGTTCAGCTATGTCGGTGCTTTCCTTTTTGAAAGATGGAAGCCCCTTGCCAAGCCCTTGGCATTGTCTTACTTGGGCCTGATGCTGGATCTCACTGGACCAAGTAGGTCAGGAGTTTCAGGACCACGGAGAGCTCCAGGTGAGCCTCTGTGCTCTGAGGAAAGCTGAGGAAGACTGAACCTTTTACTCCTAAGCTCTGCTCCCCCATGTGGATAACTTCAGTTTCTTAAAGGGCCAACTCTCTCACCTGAAGATGGGCTGGCCTCCTCTATTCCATAACCCACCACCTGGTGAGCTCCCTTTGCTGCCCGGTCAATGAGGTCCTGTGGGAGGTGAAGGTGCCCAAGACGACCTGAGCTCTGACCCTACCGGCCCTGGAGGTATGAGAGTTTTTTTTATAGGAGCTCTGGAGGGTAAGGCTCCACGATCCTCTGGATCTCCACCAGCTGGCCCAAAGCTTTGAACCTGGCCTCAGACTTTGAAGTCTTGCTTGCTGCTGGGTTCATGACAAAGCCAGCAGCTGCAATGCAGCAGAAAGATGGAAATACAGTATACTTCAAGAAACAAAGAGAGGGCCTTGGACTTAGGATAGCTCAGTCAGTAGAGCACAAGACTCTTATTCTTACGGTCATGGGTTCGAGCCCCACGTTGGGCACAAGATTCCGGCATGGCAGGGGGTTGGACTAGATGACCCTTGTGGTCCCTTCCAGCTCTACAGTTCTATGATTCTACGATTCTCTGGTAGTGGTCAACAGTGTTCCTCATAGAAATAAGGCATGTATCAGCATCAACGCAATTTTGGTGCTTGCGGGGGGCGGGGAATTCTCCTCACTGTGGCTTTTGCTGGCTCTTGATGTCTGTCGCTGTAGAACTTTTAAGGATTATTTTTGGATTGTTGATTGATCATTGCTTGTTGTATTTTGGTGATTTTTTTATCGCATTTGAAGGTTTTATATCGTATTTGCTGTACATTGCCATGAGACACCCACATAACAGTTGGGATATAAATATTTCAATAAAGCAAATAATAAGGAGAAATCTGCACATATATATTTTCCCCGCAAAGGTTTTGTGTTTAGAATTTTTATTTATTTATTTAATGGATCTGGCAGCAGCACGTCAACGAAAACTCTGGCACAAAATTGCTGCAAAGTTTGGCTCCTTGCCAGGGACGATAATGGCCCGGGTGCTGGATTTAGCAGACAAATAACACTTTCTTAACCACTGCCGCATAATTATGAGACACTCTTTTAATGCAGCTCTTTCTCTCCAGTCCCCCCCCCGCCTTCGGCAAGGCCACCCCCCCCCACCAAGAGCTGCCGAGTGAGCTGGGTGGTGGTGTTTTAAGGAAAACAAGAGTGACGTTTTGACAGCGTGACTCCAGGTACTTTTGGCAAATGTAAAATACTTCATTTAAATCTAATTTAGACAAACCAGACCACTTACAGTTGGAAAAAAAAGGAAGGAGGATGGCTTAATGGTGGCTTTTTTATTTTTATTGTGAAGTGTTAAGTGGTTCCCAGTTTCTGAAAGCTCATTGTCCTCGTCTCCCACCTCCCAAAAAGGAAATTAGTTTGGATGGAGCTGGAATACTCCATTAAAGGACCAACGTTGTTCACTACTAACTGTGTCTAACAGGCGGTTTGCAAAACATTTTTGTTCCTACTAAAGCAGCCTTCCAAGCAACCTGCAGATGTTGTTGGACTACAATTCCCAGCAGCCCCAGCCAGCATGGCAACATCTGCAGGGGCACCAGGCTGAAGAAGATTGTCCTAAAGCTTGGGCTGGTTTTCAGATGTCACTTAAAATGTCTCCTTTATTTGGGCCACAACTCACCTTCCAAAAAAGACATTACCTTTCAACAACTCAGAGGTAAACATGGTGCAGGTGATCTCTGTGTGGGATATAGTATCAATTGTGACGGCTCGCTTTGGGGACTTTTTAAATAACACATTACACTTCCTCAAGGACATTTTGAATTTTCTGAAACATGTCTCATTCCTTCCTCCCAGGACTTTTTGAGGGAGGTGTTCCTGGTGAGTTCCGGCACATCTTTTTCTAGAAAAATATTGCTGCCTCCTCCCTAGGTCAGGGGAAGAAGACTTTGTCCCCAAATAGTTTTTTGTGATTTTTTTTAAAAAATAGAAGTCCAGTTTGGGTGGAACTGCACATAAAGAAGAGACAGACGAGGTTGTCAGTAAAACAAGAAGACTTAAATTGATTTCTGTCCCTCTGATGGATGTTGTACCTAGTCTAGTGTGTTACTTTTTTCATATTTACATATTACTAAAGGTAACATATAAAAATGCATTTATATTTGGGGAAATTAACTGGTAGCATTTTGTGTATGTTAGATGCATATGAAGATACGTATATTAAGAGAAAGGAGCACTAAAATGCTCCTGAATTTACATGAAGAATTAAAACAACAAAACACAAACTGATTTGGAGTCCTGAATTTAAGATTGGGAAAATGAAAGAGCAAAACTGACCACTTGGCCCATCCATGGTTCCAGCAGGTACCTGCTTAGCAAACTGAGAAAAGAAATAGCATGTGATAGAGCCCCCCTTTTTTAAATTTAACAAGATGTATATACTTCTTAAACAACAAAACTCCTCATAGCTGTTTATGCAAATCAATTTGTACATTAAAATACACATATAACATAAAACTTTTAAAACAAGTAGACATGATTCCCCCCTTCCCAAGTGTAGATTAAAACCTTTCAAGGACATGTACATGTCTGGGTAAGGTAAAGGTAAAGGGGCCCCTGACCATTAGGTCCAGTCGTGGCCGACTCTGGGGTTGCGGCGCTCATCCCGCTTTATTGGCTGAGGGAGCCGGCGTACAGCTTCCAGGTCATGTGGCCGGCATGACTAAGCCACTTCTGGCGAACCAGAGCAGCATGGAAACGCCGTTTACCTTCCAGCCTGAGTGGTACCTATTTATCTACTTGCACTTTGACGTGCTTTCGAACTGCTAGGTTGGCAGGAGCAGGGACCAAGCAACGGGAGCTCACCCCGTCGTGGGGATTCGAACTGCCGACCTTCTGATTGGCAAGTCCTAGGCTCTGTGGTTTAACCCACAGCGCCACCCATGTCCTGACATGTCTGGGTAGGCTCCCCTAAAAAAACTTTTTAATAGATGTGGAAAACAGCACAATGAAGGTGCCTGCCTAATACTAGTAAGCAGCAAGTTCGGGAAGTAGATCATAGAATCATAGAGTTGTCGTGGTGGAAGGGATCCCAAGGGTCATCTAGCTGAACGCCCTGCAATGCAGGAATCTCAACTACATTGTACATGACAGGTGGCCATGCAACCTCTGCATCCAAAAACCTCCAAGGAAGGAGAGTCTACCACCTCTTGTGAGAGTCTGTTCCACTGCCGAACAGCTCTTCCTGTCAGAGGTTTCTTCCTAATGTTTAGTCGGAATCTCACTTCTTGTAACTGGAAGCTGTTGGTTTGAGTTCTGTCCTCTAGAGCAGGAGAAAACAAGCTTGCTCCCTCTTCCCTGTAAAAGCCCTTGAGATATTTGAGGATGGCCATCATATCTCCTTTCGGTTGCAACTTTTCCAGGCTGAACATATCCAGCTCCTTCAACCATTCCTCATAAGATCCTCTTTACTCTAGCAGTCTAGATGCTGCTAGACTCAAGCACTTGCAAGTCCTCTAAAATGTTGTTGTTTTTTAAAAAGCAGAACCTATCACTCTGCATGTAGAAACATAGCACATTAGGGGGGAAAGGAAGCCAAACCTCTTTCCGGCGAGTTAGCTGGATCAGACCAGTCAGTGTCTCAAGTAAAGGTAAAAAGATAAAAGGCAAAGGACCCCTGGATGGTTAAGTCCAGTCAAAGGCAACTATGGGGTTGCGGCGCTCATCTCGCTTTCAGGCCGATGGAGCTGGCGTTTGTCCGCAGACAGCTTTCTGGCTCATGTGGCAAGCATGACTAAACCGCTTCTGGTGCAACGGGACACCGGGATGGAAACCAGAGCGCACGGAAACGCCATTTACTTTCCAACCGCAGTGGTACCTATTTATCTACTTGCACTGGCATGCTTTCAAACTGCTAGGTTGCCAGGAGCTGGGAAAGAGTAACGGGAGCTCACTTTGTCGTGGGGATTCGAACCGCTGACCTTCTGATTGGCAATCCCCAAGGGCTCAGTGGTTTAGACCACAGCGCCACCCGTGTCCCAGTTGCAGCTAGTAGCCACTGATGGCCTTGTCCTCCATGAATTTGTCCAATCCTTTTTTTAAATCCATCCAAATCTATCACTGCTTCTATGGGAGTGAGTTCCCTAGTTTAACTACGTGCTCTATGAAGAAGTCCTTTCTTTTATCTGCCCTGAATCTTCCAACATGCGGTTTCATTGAAATTATTATCTTTTTGAAAAAAGGAAATGAACCAGCAACTTGCAGAAAACATTTTGAATAGCGGAATATTGGTTATGCAAACCCACTGGAAGTTTGTTTTAAAATTGTGTCATGCATACTCCCCTCCCTGCATTAAAAATCTCCTTACCACCCACAGCTTCTAGTTCTCACAGAATTAAAGATTTTCAAACGTCTTTCATCCATTGTTGGCCACCTCTCCCTCCCTCCCACCCTCCCTCCTTCCTGCCATCTTCTTTCAGGGCTTCCACTTGGGGGGGGGGGGGAAGCACCAGGAAGCAGATGTCCAAAAAGAGCATTTTTTCTTTCTTTCTTTTTTCCTCCTCCCCAAGTTCTCACACCACTAGAAACCTTCTCAAGAGGGGAGCACTTCATTTTTATAATGTAGATGAATCCTTTTCCACCCCACCCCAGTCTTACACTGCCTTGAAATCCTGGGCTGGGAACATGCTAAGCCAGCAAATTCACAAAGCTTATTAGAGTCCTCTGGCCTTTAGGAACAAGAGGGGGATTTGCAATTTTAAGCTGAGAGGGATAATTATGATAATCATCATAATTTTGGGAATGGGGGCAGAAAGAGTCCTTTCCTCACCAATGAATTCTGGGGTTGCTTTTTTTGTAGGGGGTGGGAGAGGGAGTGGGGGAAGGGTCCGGATGTCGCAGACCACCCTGCCCTGAGCAAACAAATGATTTTGAAGGTCCATAATTGCAAGCCTGTCTTTTAAGGAATCCTCTGGAGGATTCCTGAGTAATGGAGGTCACGCAAGGTCAGCGAGGAGCACAGGAGGATAAATCTGAAAGCATGAAGTCTCTCTCCCCTTTTTAAAGCCCATGCATAAAGGATTTATTTTCTAGAAAGGACAACTTGGGAACAATACCCTGCTGTGTGTGTGCTTGCACGTGCACGCACACACATTCACACCAACACACATGCACACACCTCACCTAAGGGCTGAAAAATAAATAACAGAGCCCAGGCTAGCTCCCCTGTAAAGCATCATTGTCATTAGAGGAGGGGTGGGAAGAAAGAAACGGTTCTTTGAAGAAATAGCCCCCCAAGACTGTGGGCAGATTCTTAAGCCAAAGGGTATCTTAAGTCAGCCCATGAAAGCAGTTGGTTCATGAGATCAGGGTTTTAGAGATGAGCAAAACAGAGGTGAGAAAGTCAGAAAGTCAGATTTGGATTCATGGTACAAAATGCTCTCTCAGCAGTGGCCCAGTAGAAGTCAGTTGTGTGGACTCATCTGGCAAATTGGCATCTTAACATCCCTCAGAACATGCTCGCCAGACTGCTCCAAAGCTTGCAAAACCACCAAATGGAAAGTCGACTCAAATTGTGGATTTGCACAAACAGACCTCTTCCTTCTACACCCTCACCAGCTATCTTTAACAAAACTCCTCATAAACAAAACAGCTCTGAAGTTTGGTCTGGAAAGGGTTAGGCCATAAAAAGCCGAGGAAGATTGGTGACTGATGAAAAAGGTGAAACGCCAGCAGTTGCTAAACAGTCTCAAAATAAACTGTGATACCACCGTTCAATGATCTTTTTGCCTTTTAAAAATCAAAAATCCAACCCACATTCATTCACATCACAGGCAGATTATATTCACCAGGTGAAATCCAGCCCACTGGTGGCTATTAAACTCGACAGTGTAATAAGTCCAATATGTATTTCAATTTACTTTGCAGCAACTACATTTAATTTACTCACTGCGGGGTTTGGAATGTAATCTTCTCCATTCCTAGTATTTGTCGAATGCATTATACATAAAGTCGGAAGAGGAACAGAGCACAGCTACCTCATGATTTGCTGCCTGGATGAGATGGCGAATGTGAGCCAATTAACGATGAAATCTTAGCAGTGCATAGTTTAATTATATTTGCAGATGAATTAAATGCATTTCCTCCCATTCCAGGTTTCCTGTGAAGCTTGATTAAAGTGGTTAAAAAAAAAAAGTGTTGAAAACCTCACACTCTGCAATCTTGGAGAAGATCTGGAGTTCTGCTGCTTGAATAAGAAAGTGGCTTGTTGAACTGTGCTGATACTGAATACTATTTTCCAAAATATGGCACATTTCTGCTTCCAAATTGAAATCAGAGAGATACCCCCAAATGTTTCCTTACTAGGGCAGGGAAAACTGAGAGCAGCTATGATGTTTCCCCCTGTGGTTTCTGATTGTAAGGAAGCCAAGCCAGACCTCATGACTCAGGCAGAGACACAACAGCCAACATCTTTCAAGCATGGATGTCTTTGCCTCAGGAGTGACTGAGCGATCAAGTCACCTCCAGTGCAGGGAGGCAGCAGAATGACTTGCCTCCAGCCGAGGCCCATTGGTAAGTGAAGCTAAAGCAGTGAAACATACAGAGGATCAGGGGGAGACTCTTCTCCAACACTCAGGTTTAGGTAAAGCTAAAGGAACCCCTGACCATTAGGCCCAGTCGCAGATGACTCTGGGGTTGCGGCGCTCATCTCGCTCTATAGGCTGAGGGAGCCGGCGTTTGTCCACAGACAGCTTCCAGGTCATGTGGCCGCTTCTGGTGAACTAGAGCAGTGCACGGAAACACCGTTTACCTTCCTGCCAGAGTGGTACCTATTTAACTACTTGCACTTTGACGGGATTTTGAACTGCTAGGTTGGCAGGAGCAGGGACCGAGCAACGGGAGCTCACCCTGTCACAGGGATTCAAACCGCCAACCTTCTGATTGGCAAGCCCTAGGCTCTGTGGTTTAGACCACAGCGCCACCCGCGCCCCTACACTCAGGTTTACTGACATCATTTTATTCATTTCTGTTTTCTGGTGGATTTCTGTTGTCACTACATTTTATTTTTTGGCATGTTCTCTTTTCAGCAAACAGTGTGTATGTATGCCAGCCGCAAAGACTGTGTTATGCATTTGGAAATTGTGCTTTTGGAGTTAGGCACAAAATTTGTCGTGCTGAGGATCTCAGTCACCCCTTAAAGCCTGGTAAATCTGCATAATGCTGAGTGAAATCTCAAAGCCTCAGTGGGAGAGCATCTTGGTTTTGGATACCCGAGTTGCATATTTTTAGGACTCACCCTATTTCTCTGACTGTAATTTGTTTTAAACTGTTGTGTTTAAATTGTTGTAACCCCCCCCCCCAATCCCCGGGAGTAGGGGGAGGCGGGGCTTAGGGCAAAAGGCAAGTAACTAATAATGTTAAGTTTTTCATACCCAGTCACACTCCCCTTCATGATGCAGCAGGCCTCTTCTTATGACTCAAGTAACTTAAGGCCATTCCTTTCAAGGGTTTTGCTTTGAGTCTGCCTAATATCAGATATCGCACATTGTGTTTGATTGCCCTGTGTAAGCTGCCTTGGGAATCCTTCTGGACTGAAAGATGGGCTAGAAATGAAAAACAAATCAATTTTGATGAAAAGTAAAATGCCGCTTGAGAATGGCCGGCTGCCTGCTTTCTGAAAACAGTCTGATACGCGGGGTGAAGCTCTTATCTGAAATCAGCCAGGTTCAAGGTTCTTATCTTAAATCACAAAGAGTCAAACAACTTAGGCCCAAAAGTGCATTAAGGATCACCTGATCCCTTCTGCTTCACCTCAGTCACAGAGATCCTCTGAGGGGGCACTTCTGTGGTTCCCCACCAGGCCTCTGAGGTTCAGTCAGCCTCTACTAGGGATAGAGCTTTTGGTGCGGTAGCTGCTGCCTGTGGAACTCCCTGCCGCTAGAGGCACCAGCAGGAGCCCTCCGTGCCTGCTTTTAGACATCTGCCGAAAGCTGTTCTTCAAACAGGCCCTTGAAACGTGACTTTCTTTCATCGATGCTTTTGATGTACCTGTCATTTTGTATACTGTGCTTTTATAATAAGTGCTGTCCATAAATATATCAAGAAACAAAAAAATCCAGCAGGGCAGCTGCTTCACCATACATTGAAAACACGTGTATATAAAGAATCCTGCGCCCTGCAGTTTTTTAAGGGTGCTGGGAGTTGTTATGAGATTCCCCCCCCCCCGTTCCCCTTCGCAGAGCTACAATTCCCAGAGTTTTCCGGGGAAAAGCGATTGGTTGCTAAACCATTCTGGAAACCGTAACTCTGTGAGGGGAAAGCGGGAACTCTCTGCACCCTTAGCAAACTACAATCCCCATGGGGGGGGGAGCCCATGGCTGTTCAAAGTGGTATAAAAGTACAGTGGTACTTCGGGTTAAGTACTTAATTCGTTCTGGAGGTCTGTTCTTAACCTGAAACTGGTTAAGCACCACTTTAGCTAATGGGGCCTCCTGCTGCTGCTGCGCCGCTGGAGCACAATTTCTGTTCTCATCCTGAAGCAAAGTTCTTAACCCGAGGTACTATTTCTGGGTTAGCGGAGTCTGTAACCTGAAGCGTCTGTAACCTGAAGCGTCTGTAACCCGAGGTACCACTGTACTTTAAATGTCTGGTCTCTGAGAGAAGAAGCTGAGATTAAAAGAAGTATCTAACCCCTGCAGTTCTGGTGGAATTCAGTTTTAAGGAAAGGGAAGCTTTTAAAGCAGCGCTGCACCTTTAAGAGTGTGGCGCTCCCGGCTGTTTCCACTTAGTCTCCTCTGGCCAGCTTGTCTCCCTGCATCAGGGCTTGGCTTTCATCATGCTTATCTCCCCCCTCCCCACCTCCCTTTGGGGGCCCTGGGAGCCAAAGGCTAGAGGGGCTGTGTGACAGGGAGCAATGACCTCTGCATAAGTAGTCCAGCAGATGGCCACACCCCCTTCCTTCGCTGGCTTTTCTCTCATAGCCCCTGGGGGCACAGGCCCCTGACCTCTGCCTCTGCAGAATACCAGAGACCTTCGAACGTGACTCTGGTATGTTCGGTAACAGGCATAACATTATCCTCCCCTTCCATCGGGGCGGGGGTGTGGGTGGGTTGGTGTTGGTGGCAGAGGCGAGGCATGCCGGCAAGCGGGTGGAAATTCGTTATGGCGGCCTCTTTGGGGCACCCGCCGCCAGCCTGCTCCCTGCACCCTTCCCCACGTTTTTGGACTGATTCCACAAGAACCTGGGTCAAGCTCATTGAGATCAGCATCCGGTTCTTTCAGTGGCCAACCACTGGGAAGCCCATAAGCAGGTCCTGTGGCTTCCAGCAGCTGGCATTTGGAGGTAATCCTGAGCTAGATGGACTAATAATAATAATAATAATAATAATAATAATAATAATAATAAATTATTTGTACCCTGCCCATCTGGCTGGGTTTCCCCAGCCACTCTGGGCGGCTTCCAACAAAGATTAAAAATACATTAAAATGTCACACATTAAAAGCTTCCCTAAACAGGGCTGCCTTCAGATGTCTTCTGAAAGTCTGGTAGTTGTTTTTCTCTTTGACATCTGGTGGGAGGGCGTTCCACAGGGCGGGTGCCACTACTGAGAAGGCCCTCTGCCTGGGTCCCTGTAGCTTTGCTTCTCGCAGTGAGGGAACCGCCAGAAGGCCCTCGGTGCTGGACCTCAGCGTCCGGGCAGAACGATGGGGGTGGAGACGCTCCTTCAGGTATACTGGGCTGAGGCCGTTTAGGGCTTTAAAGGTCAACACCAACACTTTGAATGGTGCTCGGAAATGTAATGGCTTGACTCGGCACAAGGCTGTTTCCGAAGGCCTATGTCAGCCTTTCTTTCCCATGGCAGTTATTGTAGTCCATAAGAACATTAGAGTTTCCCTGCTGGATTGTGGATAGCTCAGTTGGTTAGGACATGCTGCTAATAATGCCAAGGTTGCAGGTTTGATTCCTATACAGGACAGCTGCATATTCCTGCATTGCAAGGCGGGTTGGGATAGATGATCCTTAGGCCCCTTTCCAACTCTACAATTCTGTGGTTCATCTAGTCCAGAAGCCAATCACATACCTAGGAGAATCCCAGAAGCAGGAGCTGAGCACTACATCACTCTCCTCTCTAGTGGTTTCCAGATACTCGCATTCAGAGCATGCTGTCTCCCAGCAGTGGAGGCATCCTTTTTCAGCCGTAGGCCGGTCCACTGTCCATCAGACCCTGTGGGGGGCCGGACTATATTTTGGAAAAAAAATAATGAACGAATTACTTTGCCTCACAAATAACCCAGATAAAAGCACACATTCTACTCATGTAAAAACACCAGGCAGGCCCCACAAATAACCCAGAGATGCATTTTAAATAAAAGGGCACATTCTACTCATGTAAAAGCACGCTGATTCCCAGGCCACCTGCAGGCTGGATTGAGAAGGCGATTGGGCCGCGTTTGGCCCACAGGCCTTAGGCTGCCTACCCCTAAGGTAGAGCATAGTTATTTGGCAGAATAGGGGCTGATTTGCAAGACAGTGGCAAGCCCAGCCCCGCTGTGTCTCCAGTAAAAGGACAGTTGGCTCACCTGCTCTTACCTGTGTTCCTCATTTATCCTCCAGAGGGAATCTGCCACAGCCCTTGCAAAGCAATAAGGTTGCTTGTGGGCTGCCGTACTGTTAATTACGATCCCCTCTGTTTAAAAGAGGATGCATTTGTGAATGAATTGGCCCATCAGTTGGTTAATAACACCTCCTTATCAAGCCTGCTTATAGGTATTAGTTATGCCCTATAAAATTCATACAAGGCCCCTTGGGGGAAATCACTTAAATTGTGGGCTGTGGGGGTGGAGGGACTGAAACCCTGCTGTGTATGTATGGATGTGTTTTGCAAAACTGTAGAGACACGTGGAGGTAAGCTGGCATCCCGAGCAGCGGAACAAGAGCTAAGACGACCCACCAGCTTGTGTTTTAATAATTCTGGATTAAGCACTTCCCTTTCTGCCTTTCCACCTTCTCTCCCTGCCAAATAATAGAACAAGCAGACCATAAATTTGCTGATTATATGCATTTGGGCTGACTCTTTCCCTTAACGACCCTTTCTGATGATTGCAATTCTCAGTGATGGAGAGTAATTTCTCTCTCCCCCCCCCCTCCTCATCCCTTCTTTGTTTCAAGTAACATCTTT